CTCCCAGAACTTACTTCATTCACAATATTGATCACACTACAGTGTCATCTTTGATTTGCATGTCTGCTTCTCTCTTTCTCCCCTATCAGTCTTTGAGCCCAGAAGTCGTATCATAACTGACTCTGCATCTCCAGCCTAGGTGGCACGTGGTCACTGCTCAACTTAATACTTGATGAAAGTGCCTATGGAGGAAACTTAGGGACCACCAGAGAAGTAGGGGGAAGGAGAGACAAGCAGGGGACAGTGACATGCATTGCATGATTCAGAGAGGAAGGCCTAAACTGAGGACAGAAGGGGAGAAGGTCTAAGAAACTGGATATTCTTCAAAAATTCATATTATTACAAGTCAAGGAGGGAGGGAACAGTGTCCCTTGACCACCAATTGGGAGTAGTTTGAGTATTTAATTAACTATGGGCAGCAAACCAGGCCAGACGACCTAGCAGATGCTCTGCAACATCTGTAAAGATAGTCGTGAACATGCCATTGCAGATGTGTAGGTGAACGGTAGACAAACGATAAGGTGGGCAAGAAGCCTGAGAAAAGCTCGTGCAAACAGCAGCCAGGGAAGGGGGAGAGGAGAATGTGCCTCGGTGGGGAGAGCTGGAAAAGTATCACTGAGATAGTAATGTTTTTAAAGAAAACATAAAATGCAGTTGAAATTAGTCTCTCCAAATTCAGAGAGAAGAGAAAGAGGAGACAGAGAAGGAAGTGAAGGACAGGGGGAGGAAGAGAATAAGATACCAAAGAAAAAAGAGGAAGAAAAAGTTTGGGAAACAATGGAAGGCAAGAAAATGAGGAAGGAAAGTAGCCAGAGGAATGGCCTAAATCTGTTTAGAGTCATGAAGCATTTGACATGGCAGAGAGCAGCAGGACTGAAAGGCAAATACAGAAAGAAAATGAAATTGCGGTAGAGATGGTGCCCTGAGGCAGGTTCCATGGCCCTGTCATCACAGCTCTAGTGGATCTGGGGTTAGTGACCAATGAGGTAGTGGGACCATAGGACTGTCGCTAGTGCACATTAGACCAAGACGCTCAGGGTGGCTGGCTCGGCAAACAGAGCACACTGGGTTTTAGCCTCTACTCACCTGCTGGGTCACATGACTGTCCAAGGAGGGACTGCTATGGATTGAATTGTGTCCCCCAAAGTTCCAGGTATTAGAAACTTAACCCCCACGTGACAGTGTTAAGAAGGTGGAAAATGCTATTATGGTAATTGAAAGGTGGAGCCGTGAAGAGGTGATTAGATTGTGAGGACCATGCCCTAGTGAGTGGATTGATCCACTTGATGGTTTAATGGTGGTCATGGGTGTGGCTGGGAGGGCTTTAAAAAGAGCACGCGAGGAGTGCTCTCTCTCTCTCTGCTCCTGCCATAATCGCCATGTGATATCCTGCATCTCTGTAGAATCACCACCACCAAGGCCCTCACCAGATGTGTTCCCTGGACTTTGGACTTCTCAGTCTCCAAAAGTGTAAGCAATAAATACTCTATTTCTTTACAAATTACTAGTTACAGGTATTCTGTTATAAGCAACAGAAACAGACTAATACAGGGACTGACCAGGCTATACTTGGTTTTGAGGAGGTATTTCCATATTCTTCCTATCTTGACCTTCTGCTCTGGAAGTGTCAGGGAACTTCTGGACAGCCTTGGAGGGCTATGCTAACCATTATTAATAAAGAATTTGGGCCTTTATACTACAATTATCCAAGAGCCAAGGTAACATTCTAGGTGACTCCTACAGTGAACAGGGGAAAAAAGGTGGACTTTAAGGGATACAAGTTAAAATAAACAAGAAAAAGTATGTAAGCACATCTTTCTCTTAATTACCATTTTATCTTTTTTTTTTAATTTGTTTTTTTCTTTAAAAGGAGCTCACCGACTTAAATTCCAGAAATTCCATTCCTTTGGCAACTTGATATGCAAAGCATAGAAGATCTTCAAATGTAAGCACATTCAAATCCTCTTCTTCTTCCAGTCTTTTTTGGTTTTCATATTCAGTTTCATCTGTAAAACAGAGCTGGTCTTCACTTTTGTCAAAACCCTGAGAAGTTGTCTTAATAAATCTCTATGAAGTCTGGCTGGTTAGCTCAGTTGGTTAGAGCAGGTGCTGATAACACCAAGGTCCAGGGTTTGATCCCTGTACCAGGCAGCAAAACAAACACACAAAAACCTCCATGCAAGGTCATTAAAGCCAGACTTAGGTGAGGTGCCAGGATGTGTACATGAAGCTGTCACATCATTTTCCAGGCAGCACAAGAGCTGACCTGTTTATGGTGACAAGTGTATAGCCTAGGAAGGGTCACAGAAAGGTTCTTTTTGGTTACAGATAAATTCCCTAGCTTCTGTGACAGTAGGTGGCCTCCAGCTAGTCAGGAGTTTTAGATGCCCTTTTTCTGTAGGAGGAAGTTTTGTCACATTGGAAAAGGAATTAACCTTAATCAATGTCTACCACATTTTATGAACCGTATTGCACCTGAGTTCTTCCACGTACTCCTTCCAACAGCCCTGCAAGGAAGACACCGGTAGGCCCATTTTAGGAATAACTTGTCCAAAGTCACCCAGCCAGAAAGTGAAGGAACCAGAAGTTAACTCAACTTCTGTCTGACTCCAGAACTCATCATCTTTTCCATTTATCAGGTAATAAGGTGGCTCTAATTAATTTATGGCTTTAAAAAGAATAACTTGACCAAATAAAGTAATCCTCAGTGTCTACTAGCTAAACATTGGCATAAAATTCACAATATATCAGCTGTTGGCTTTTAACTACCTTTAAAGTAAATATGCATTAATAAAGCCTATCATGAACATTAGTAAAGAAAAAAATGCTTTTGCACTTATATACTTTTAAAAAATAGCTAACACAAACTCTTGTATCCATTTCTGTTTTAAAGTGCTACTAATTTGAATAAAATATTACCTTCAGAATGGAATGAATTCCCATTGAACCCTGAGATCTGATCCGAGTCCTGGTGTATTTGAACTTCTCTTGAACCAGGCATACTATTAAAAAAAAATTTTTTTTTCATTATTTACATTCTTCTCCTGAGCAGACATTTTATTAAGAAAACACAATTCATTAAAGAAATGGATCCCAGTCATAAATGGGCTTTTAAATTAAAAGCAACGCCATCAATTTGCCCATTTTTTGTGGGTATCAAAAACATCTGTGTAAATGGGCTTGCCAGTCTAATTAGGATAAGCATGATCCCTGTTATCTGTATAGAGTCTTACAGTTCAAAAAGGACCTCACCCAATCTTTGCCACAACCCACTAGCTGAGTGTTAAAGTCACATTTTATAAGAGAAATTAGGTTCAGGGAGATCAATATGGTTTGCTGATATCTCAAAGCTCATAAAGAGTAGAACTAGGGCTCACATGTCATTCTGCAGTTTCCAACCTCAGCCCACTTTCCCTTTAAAAGCTCATGTTAATACAGATCCTCTATAGAGACCTGTAAGCGTTTTACCATCCTTCTTTTTTCAAGTTTGCCTTTATAAAGCTCATTTCCTTTTACTGTGAAATTAATAAATAGGAATGATAAAAATCTCTTTTAAGGTATATAATATAGAAGTCTTCACTGAGGAGTTCTGTACCAAGTATAAATAGATCATGTTTCAATTTACAATTTCCATATCTTTGGAAAATGACTTAATGCTTTCAGATCAAAAATATTCCAAAATTAATTGCTTCAGGGTATTTAATACCCCAATGACCAGAATGAGTTAAAGAGACTAATTACTGAACATGGAGTGCTGATCACACACATCTGACTCATTAGGATAGACTCTCTGTTCTAGCATATGAATGACATTATAGAATTTTCTCAGTTCTAGAATTTGAACTGAAAAGTAAGTGTAAAGGGGAGGATCGGTGTGATGGATATGAACCAGTTAAGGGTAACTGCACACAGACATGCATGGATACCTCTGTGGGGCCTTAAGGTCTTGCTGGTTCTGTCTCAGACCTTGAAGGCCAAAGACCTGTACTGATCTTACATTCTTTTTTTTTAAGATGACTGGTAAGGGGATCTTAACCCTAGACTTGGTGTTATCAGCACCACACTCTCCCAAGTGAGCCATGGACTGGCCCTCTGATCTTACATTCTAAGAAAACAAAGCTGGGAATCTCAAACACATCCCCAAAGTAAAGATAAAGTCTGTGACAAACAAATATGCCTTCGGAATAAGGGAGAGCTTTCACATATGCAGGGACAAAGGGATGCACTGTGGTTGGAGGAATTATTCTGTCAGAATGCCTGTGAATCCGTTCAGAGAAAGGTACTATAAGTCTATGATGCTCAAATAATTAGCAAGAAATTTCAAGCATGAGGAGAAGCATCCCACCAAATTCCTAAAGCCTTCATTCATGCATGCTAAAATAATAAAATCCCAACAGGACCCAGTATCACTCAGGATCCCCACAAGTGGCAGAATATACTTTGCAGAGCACAGAGACAAGCTAGCATTACTTTATTTTGTCCTCATAATCACATGTCAATTGATCCATCCTAATATTTTAAAATCCAATTTAGGAGTTTAGAGATCTTTTTTGCAATAGCCCCAGGATCTGGGGTGTTCTCTATGAATATGTCAAGGACATTGGAAAAAGTCTTCGGGGCCGGCCCGGTGGCGCACTGCTACAGTGCGCCGCTTGGGAGCGTGGCGGCGCTCCCGCCAAGGGTTCGGATCCCACATACAGACCGGTTCCCGCTCACTGGCTGAGCGAGGTGTGGGCGCAACACCGAGGGTTGCGATCCCATTGCCGGTCCCGGTCCGGTACGGGCGCGACACTGAGGGTTGCGATCCGTTGCCGGACACGAAGAAAGACAAAAAAAAAAAAAAGAAAGAAAAGAAAAAGTCTTCATTCTTCTACCAATACCTTTGTGGCAAGGAAGAGTCTTGAAAGATTAACTAATTCACCTTTCTCAAAACCAAACATGTATCTAGGGTGTGATTTAGGCACAGGTGGGACTATAATACCTGTACCGAAGGAAAGGGAAAAGTTTCATTGTTCCAGATCAACAGGGAAATAATAGAAAAGACAGAGGATTTTTCCAGGTCTTAGGACCCAAAGACCACACACTGCCTTTAGAAACTTGTAGTGGGGGTGTTTCACCATCACACTTTGTCCATGTTCCATGGTGTTTAATTATGAGACCTGACCCAGCCTCTTACCTGGAATTTGGATTTGATTGGAAAGGGGGGTAAAAACTGAAATTGTGTTCCTTGAAAATCTCCGTCCATGTCCTGTGAAATTTTTCTCTTTTACTTCTTAGATAGTTGAGAAGATCACCATAGCAACAATATTCAAAAATCAGGTAAATTGGTCCTGAAATAGTTACAGTTTTAATTACAGGAATACAAACACCAAGTTGTTTTTTCAGACATCTGTGCAGCTTACAACATACTCTATGAGAGCTCGGGTTTCCCCTGACTTTGGGAGAGTACAACTTTTTCTAAGCTCATCTCTTCTTATACTTTAAGATCAGTTTCAGCTTTTTGCTCAAACTCTTTGGGAAAGCAGGATCTCCTTGCCTTTCTCCTTGACCCTGGTTGTACACATGGCTTCACTCATACCACTGGCATGCTGGATTCTCCAGTTTGCAACAGAGCACAATATACTAGACATTTTGTGAACACTTGGTAAATATATGCTGATTTGTTGTTTGCCTGAAGAGGGAGAAATATAGTCCCAATACTCTCTTAGATCCATTTTTCTCTACCTTTAGTCCCAGCCCCACACCTGCTGTTCCAGAAGGAATGACCTTGGGCACATTGCTTGGGTGTTTCTAGGCAGAAACAGAGAGCATGTCCAGAGAATTCTGGGAAAATAAGGTCTGACCCCCCAACCTTGGCCTCATTTGAAGGCTGCCCAACAGGGAGAGTGGCCAAGCTCCGTGGCTGTTCTTGCCCCTGCATTGATGCCAGCCTTGCAGCTGAGGGAGAAGTACAGATGCCACACAGGGCACTTGCAGTGTTGCTGTCGTCTTAAGCAGGTCAGAATTATGTGATATATCCCAACTGATGGGGTCAAAGAGAGGCGTTCTTTATAACGACCCATCTGACTTACAGAGTGCTCAATATCAAATTCCACTTGGGTTTCAGAGCCCACTCTGTGACTGAGAAGAGAGAGAGAGAAAAAGAGAAGACAAACGTGCTCTTTGTCTTCCAGCTAAAATATTTTTGATTAGGTGTTTTTAGTGGAAATCGATTACCTGACAGTGTGCATGCCCCCAGCAAGTTCACAATATTCTCATGGTTTCCCAGGTGAGTCATCATTTTGAGTTCTGACATGAGCGCCTCTTTTTCAGAACTGTCTGCTTTTTCTGTCAATGGAGGAGCATTAAAAAAATGTAAAACCCAGGGAAAATATGAATTTTATGATATTTAATCAATTAAAATTTCCTCAATTTAGAGCCGATTTGCATTATTGATGTAAATTCAAAACCATAAGAAAAAACAGACATAAAAATAATACGTGAATTTTGGATAATAATATTCTGTGTTTTAAGACAGAATTTCAAAGATTGTGGTATAAAAGCTAAACCTAATAATGTGCCTTTCTACTGGACTTTCTTCTACCTACCAAAATAAAAATCCTCGAAACAAAAAAAAAATAATAATAATAATAACAACACATGAGTTTCCTCCACAGTAGAAGTTAACAGGTATGATGAAGGGGAAAACATCATTTTTTTTTCTTGAATCTTGGATCTGCTGAAGTCAGAGGGAGACAAGATAGGAGTGTCAGCAAGGCTGGTTGCCTCCAGCCTGTGGCCCTCAGGTCTACAACCTTACATTTGTCAGTAAGTCCAATGAGAGGAGGTCAATAACCACATTCTCAAGAGACTTATTAATTGATAATGAGAAATATAACTGCCAAACAGGCTAGAATGTATCAGTTGGCCAATGCATCCTCTCCCTAGAGAAAAGTCTAGATAGCCTGGCAAACTGCACTCACAACCTGCTCAGAAGCACAGCAATGAGCCCTAAGGGCTCCTGACACTGAGGCTGACGTGCAGCTGGTCAGGGCACCCCTGCCCCATGTGTGTGTTGGAGCCCCCAGGACAAGGCCAGAGTCACTGGACTTTCCTCTCCAGACTCCACCCACCCCTCTTTAACATATTCTTTCTTACAGACATAGTAACTTTTCTTTACATTCAGTGAAGATTTCATTAGATTTCAAGGTCCCATTATCTTGTCTTGGAAGACATCCCAGCCTTTATGATTATTTTTCTGGAATGTCAATACCATCTATTTTGACTTGAGTGAGCTCTCAGGGGTATCCAAAATCTCAGCTTAGGAGTGGGACCCTTTGCTGTGTGTGCTGGGACCCACTAGCACATCATATTTTCAGCTGCTTCATGATTTACAGGGATTTGAGGCTTTCAACTATCCATGTCTTGTTCTTTATGACCAAAATAAAATCTTACATTTTATGGCATGCTTAACTTTTTCAAAGCACTTTCATATACCATTACCTCTTTCATTCATTCATCCAGCAAGTATTTATTGAGTGTATGAGGCATGGTGCCAGGCATTGGGGAATGAAAAATAGACAAGAAACAGCCCTGGTCTTCCTGGAGCTTAGAGTGTCCTAGAAAAGGGAGGTGAGTGAATAAGCCACTACAATACAGCGTGATAGACACAATGTGGCAAGTGAATGCAGGGCTTCTGCAGAGTCACACAAAAGGGACAGCTAACTTAGCCTTGGATGAATGGTGAAGGGGACATCAAATGTCTAACCTGAGACCTGAAGAAACGTAAGAGCTACCAGGTGAATACATGGTGTGGGGAGCTGGAGGGCAGAGGCTCGCTGCATGATAATGGAATGGGCAAAGGTGGAGAAAGCAACAGCTCTGCAGAGCAGTGCAGATCCCACCTTGGAAGGCTTACAGACAAATGCGGCAGGTAAGACAATTAAGCAAATATGCAATTACAATTGTGAAAAGTTATATGGGAAAAAACCTACAGAGAGCTAAGGTAACGTATTGGAAGGGACTCAGTCTCTTCTGTGATGTGGGAGAAGGCTTCCCTGAGGAAGCGATATTTCAGCTGAGATCTGAAGGAGGAGTAGGAGATGCCTAAGTGAAAGGGGAAGGGTGAGCAGAAGGATCCGCCTGTGCAAAGGCCCTGAGGTAGAAGGGAACATGTGCTCTGGAGGAAGTGAAAGGAGTCCGGCATGCTGGTGTGCTGACAGTGGGAGGCAAGGGGGTGGCAGCAGCCAAATCATGCAAGGCTGGGTCGTCCATTTAAGAGTGATCAAAAGCCACTGGCAATGTTAAGTAAAAAAACAGTATGATCTGCTTTGCATCTCATAAGCATCACTTGAACTTCAGCACAGAGAACCCGAAAGGAGGTAAGAGTAGATAGAGGGTGCCTGCTTTGGAGGCTACAGCGGCTGTTCAGGACAGACTTGGACTAGGGTGGTAGTAATAGACATAGAGAGAAGAGGATGGACTCGAGAGACTAAGCAGGAAACCTGACAGAAATAGTTTACAGCGTGTTAGAGCACAGTGTTGAAGAAGAGCCCTAGTTTCTGGTTTGCCTGATTGTGTGGAATGTGGCTATTCATTGGCATCAATCACTGAGAGAGGGAGTGCTGATGGAGGGCTGGGATTAGGAGAATTCAGCTTGAAAAAGCTGACTTAAAAGGACTGTTGAACATCCAAGCACTTGAACATATGAATGTGAAGCTCAGAAGGAAGATGCAATCACGAGAACCATGGGTACACAGGATGAAGCCACATGTGTGTTCAAGATCGAATATGGTGAGTGTGTGTAGTGAGCATGGAAGGAGGTCCAGGAACAAGACTACAGGACTCCGCATAAAAGCTGCGTAGACAAGGGTGAGCCAGCAAAGCACTGAGAAGCAGCCAGAGAGGTAGGAGGAAAGCCAGAGGAATATGGTGACTGGACACCAAAGGAAGAAAGCATTTCTAGACTGCAAGAATAGTTGATAGTGTCAATTTATGCAGAAAAATCAAGTAACACGAGGACTAAAAAATGCCCATTGGACTTGGTTGGAAGCCACTGTTCATCTCAGGAAGAGAGCCAGCTGGGGGTGCACTTGCTCAGTGAGTGGTGGGAGGGGACGGGATGGGCAAGGGTGCCAGAGTGGAGTGGACGGAGCGGCGAGTGGGAAGTGAGGACACAGAGGGCCTCAATTTGCTCTTCTACCCCCGGTCTACGTCAAAATGCAAGAAACAACTTCTGCCTGCAGCAACTGTATCCTTAGTACTGAAACCAATGAAAACTAAACTCTAAGAGAGAAGAGGAAGATGAGGTCGAGTTTTGTGTTCACGACGTGGTTGACACTAACCCCAACCTGCTCCCTTTTCAGCTTTGAAGCATGGCAAACAGTAACCATAGAAACGATAGAAAAGGTGAGAAAGGGTAGATGGAAAACTGTGCCTCCCATCTTTGTGCATCTCGGTCAACATCATTCCACTGTACTGTACCTTTCAGCATTTTGACTGCGACCTGGATTGAGACTCCTGTTTTACTAATTCCATACGCTGTTGCATTCATCACTTTTCCAAAAGCACCTGATCCTAGTACCTTCCCTGCAAAGATAAAAGGTGAGTACATACATTTTAAAGATTTTCCAACAGAAAAGGAATGCCACAAAAACACTGGGAACATTCAATTCTTACCAAACTCTAAGTTTTCTCTTGGAAACTCCCACTTGAGATCATATTCATATTCTCTGAAATCAATGTAGAAGTACTCATTGTCCAACGAGCCGGTCACCTGCACCATCTGCAGCTGGCTTTCATACCTAAATTGCTTCAGAGGTGAAATAATGAGACAGTTAGGAAAAGGCAGTTCTGCAGATGGAGGAAACAATAATGAATTTTGTCCTCTGCTGTTACCTTTTTGTACTTGTGACAGATTAGCATGGTTAAAACAACAATGAAGGGGAGACAAAGCCCAATTGTTGCATAGAATGAGATGTTGTCTTGGATGAAAGGGAAGGGGCCTGCAACAGAAGGGTGTCATGAGCAACGAGACAGCTGGTATTACAAACTTCAGACCCTCATTACCGTCTCTCATGGCCTGTGTGAGTAACCCTCATTCTCAGTCCCTACCTACAAGCACTCTATGTATCCTCCACTCCCTATGGAAAATCTGGCAAAAGGACAAGTTTCCTGTCTAGAAATTTTTAAATAATTCTGAACCCATTTTTTAAAAATCATCTGCTAGGGTTATAAGAATTGCATCTATTTAAAACCACAGGATGTATGATTCAGATAAAGAAGATGGTCGTGTTTCTTCTATGAAGATATCATATGAATGTGGGGAAGTTAGTTTTCTGATGCTGATGATTCTAAACTATTACCGTAGGTGGGCCAGGTTTCAGAATTGTTTAACTCAGGAGGGCTCTCAAAAACAAACCCCAAATTACAAAACAGCAGGCTAAAGGCATATAGGGAGATTAATCAAAAGGGAAAATGATAGAGACTCCAAATTAATAAATCTGTTTCTCCAGCATTGGATATTTGGGTCAATATTCATTACACAGGGAGTTAACTGTTCCCCACATTGCTATAACTCGTGAGTCGTAACAACATATCTAGAACTCTGCCCCAAACCGCAAAACAGTACGTGTTAGTGGGGATTCTTGCCTGACTCAAAAAGCCTTCTCTTCTCACACACTGAACCTACCCTCTCTTGTAAAATACCCCAAATAAAAGCCAGCGACAGGGACTAACTTCTAGAGGGGAATTCCTGATGGTGGAGTATTACAATAGCGACTGCTGGATACCTGGTGAGTTTAAAAGGATTGTTTCACAAGATATGCCAACAGAATTGTATGCGCAGCACTTGACCAGGAGCCCTTTCACAGCCTCACTCATGTTTAGGATACTGCTTGAAATCCACTGTCCGAACACTTTTCTGTTAGCCTTTTTATTCCAAACGCCTTCTGTGATTTCTTCTGTGCAGCTGAAAAGACATGAAAGACAGAGAAGTTAGATGGTTGGGGCTGTTGTCAGACTGGAAATTAGGGCTTCTGTAGTGAGTTCTAAAAGAAATTCATCTATTGTAAGTTATCAGAGACCATCTATGACCACTGAGAAGTATGGTTGATTCAGAAGGTAAGCATTTTAAACATTTCCTCATTTCTTCTTAAACTGTATTCACGAAAAAGAGTCAACAGGCGAGTGAGTTTTATGTCCTTCCATTACAAGAGATGTCAATGTCCTTATTACTTGGGAAACTTGTCTGAACACTTCTTCCAGGTCCAAGATGGTAATGGGTATCCATCCGAGGAACAAGACGCCTGGCTCGCGGATGCCTCGGCGAGCACTTGAGGTTTCCCTGCAGAAAATAACATGTAAACTGAGCTCATGGAGTATGGAACTTGCCGGAAATGATTTCAAAGTTGCCTTCAGTGTCGGCTGCCCATTTACTCCAGGGCGGGGAGGGCCTCTCATTCGAGATGCCTCAAGATCCCTGGTTATTCCCTCTTTCCCTTTTGCCATGTAACCTTCCTATCACTTAACACCGCTCCACGGAGCACCACTTTTCCACTGCTGGGCTTCTGCCGTAGAGAGCTGAGGTGTAGACCTCCATCTATCTGTGAACCTCAAAACAATTCTTAGCTTCAGAAGAAGTGTCTGAAAAAAGTCCAGTGAAATGTATTCCTGTCCTTTTATAGACCACAGAAATGAAAATTACTAAAACAAACAGCAGGTACTATGATTGTCAGCCTTCTTTTAACATAACCTTTCAAAGTACTAAATGTAATAAAGTTACAACACTAAAGCACATTCAGAGAGGATATGAAATTAGTTTCTGAGGATAAACACAGAAGGAGGTATATGTAACTAAAGCCAGTAGATATGAGAGTAAAATTTCAAAACATTTCAGCATACAAAAACAGTTTTGTAACATCCTTTCTAAGCCATTACTCCATTACTTTAAGCTCTTGCTGATTGAGATTAATAAAGAATTCAGGAGTTATAAGATAAAAAATTAAATTCTTGGCAATTTAACTTACTTCTTATGTTCAGCGTGAACCTTTTGGTGAATTGAGCGTCATCATTTCCTGCATGGAATATATATTCTCCTGGCTGGTGTTTATGGTTGCAAAACTTAGATATGCTGTTTGAGAAAGAATTAAAGACAGACTTAGCTTGATTCCTGCAGGAGATACTACAACGAACAAGTGTGAATGGGAGGAGTCTTCCTTGAAACTCTCTCTACTCGTTAAAGTTTACTGGACAAGGAGATGTCTGTATTCTAGACACTTGCCACTCAAAGGGTGGTGCACTGACAAGCAGATCAGCATCACCACAGTGTCATCTGGGAACTTGTTGGAAATGCATGATTTCTGGCCCAACCCGCAACCTACCAACTCCGTGTAGTTTTTATTTGCTTTGTTAACAAGAAGGCTGAAGATGTAAAAAGGGGAATTTCTTATCCCGACCTACTTCTGGACAAGGAGGAAATGGCAGGTGAAGTGGAAGTGACAGAAAGATGGTGGGGAAAGCCAAAGTATGACCCTAGGGAGCATAAGAGGAGACACAGCCACATGAGATTCCAGGCTTTAGGAAGGCAGAGCTGAAGCAGTCCAAGAAAAGAAAGATGGGATCTTCTAAAATGGAAAATGCAATTCTCTCTGGACAGTGGCCAGAAACCCTAAAAAGGAAGAAGAGAGGAAGAGAACTATGTTGGCTAGCCAGACACCATGCCAAAGCACCAGTCAATCTGGTGGAAAAGAAATGACCGATACAACCATTTATCATCATGCAGACCAAAGCGAAATGTTTCGTAAACTTTTTTCCTTTTCAGTCTTTCATTCTTTCTTAATGGAGTGGGATTTGCCACTGTTTCAATGAAATAGCACCTGAAATATTTTCATTCTTCTGAATAATTTTCAGGTAGAAAATTGGTCACATAAACAGCCAGAGCACAAAATCGATATCCAGGTAATTTTAAACTGCTTTCTCTCCTGTTTATGGCAGTTTATCCTAGCAACAACAGTTGCCGAACCTCTGGGAATTCCAAGGCGACTAACCAACTAGGTGACTGGGAGATTCAAGGCTTCCTCTTTTCCCCTAGGGTTTTTCTAAAATTGGCCAGCTGGCATGAGACAGGAGGTCAGGAAATTTGAGTTTACAGTGAAATAGTGTCTTGGTGATTAAGCAGATGTGTTCTCATTATAACTATGAAAAGGGTTCTTTCCTCTGTAATCGAAATGCCAGGTCACTTTTATTTTCCATTTAGCTCCTAGAGGGGAGGAGTTGAGAAAGGGCAGGTTCTTTCCAGTGGCTCAAAGAGTAATTTTACTATAAAGAATGCTTTATTCATACAGCAAGGGATTATTGAAGTCAAATCAGAATGCAGAAAATAATAAAGCATGTATTGGAGAAGCTGAGAGCTCCTGAAACTGGAGAACAAAGAGCTGGCAAGCTTGAAGGTGGCTTTACGAAGCACTGAAAGACAGCTGATCAGGTGGCCCTACCTTGGACTGCAGAGTCATGGGGCCAGGCACAGCCTAGCTGAAGTTGCATCTGATCTGTTCAAATACCTGCCCTGAGTTAGATGAAGATAGTTGGGGGCAGGGAAGATGTGCTGATGATTTTATACTTCACCATACAAGTATAATACCGTGTTCATTTGTATTTGATTTCAGGAAAGCTGACAAGCCTGGGCCCAACGGCAAAGCATGACGCATTTCACAAGGTCCAAAAATGCTTCTATTTTTAAATAACTAAATAGCATGTATGTATTTCTGTGTTCTTATACACAGGGTTTGAGAATCTCACACTTTGAAAATGAGTTGGTTTCAAGAAGCAATATAGTGAAATGGTTAAAAACACAGACTTTGGAGCTAATTGCTGTTGGAATCCCAATTCTGCCACTGCCTGGAGGTGTGAAATTGGGCTAGTAAAGTAGCCTCTTTGTGACACAATTTCCTTGTCTGTATAACAAAGATAATAATAGAATCTACCTCATATAGTTGTTGGGAGAAAATTTTTCAAAATAAAAAAAGCATTTTTGTATAAAGGGCTTATAATACTCCCTAGCACATAGTAAACATAATATACATGTTAGATCATCATTATTATGAGGCTTATTAATACCAGTCGTCATTTTGAATGAAAAAGAAATTTAGAAGCTTTACTCTGGGGTATACTGTAAGCATACAAATCACATTAAAATAAAAAGATGCAAGGGAAAAAGTAAAACTAAAGTCAATGCCTATCAACAGGAGTTAGTTAAGATAAAAACTTTTAAAAAGTAGAATACTACGCAGCCATTGAAAATGATAATGCGACATAATAACATACTTAACATAAAAAGATATTCATCATATATTTTAAATGAAAAATCAAATCACAAGTGGCACAATTAATTTCATGTTTATACAAAGATCTATATTTTATGTTTCTATCAGGGTGGTTACATAGAAGAAGTCTGAAATCTTATCTCTGGAGGTGGAACTAAGGGTGCCCTTTTTTTTTCCTTTACTTACAGCAATTTCAAAAAACAGGAGTGAACAAAGGGTATTGACTTTGCCCTGTGTGATTGGGCAAGTAATTTAACCTGAGTTTCCATATTTCATAATATGAGATTGTGAAAATTAAATGAAATAATTCACATAAAAGACTTTGCACATTGTCCTGTGCATAGCAAGAGCTCAAAGAAGTGTCTTTTCTTCTCAGTGAGTGGTTTCATATGATGTAGCTGATAACTTAAACTGAATGGCATCTCTGGAGGAAGAGGAGCCAGGACCACCGTCACAAACAGCAGAAGTGAACAGGGCCAGGATTCAGTTGGGAGCTTGTGGTATTTCACTAGACCCAACCATCTTCTCTCTCCTTTCTGTACAAACTCAAGACTCATCTCCTTCAAAAAAAAAACTTAAAAAAAAAAAAAGTGCCTCCCACAGGCTCGGAAAGCTTCTGCAATCATATGTCACTCACTACACTAAGAGACTGCTTTTCTGTTTGCCCATTCTTCTCCTGAGCAGGACACTGGCTCCTCACCCAGAACCCCATGACTCCCACACTGCAGTTTACCCAGTGAGTCTCAGTCAGTGCCTGTGAAGGACAGAACTTACATTTGTAGAGTAGGGAAATTAAATATTTCAGTGGGAAGGAAAACACAAGGCTTAGTCAAGGCTAAGGAGAGTCTTTCAGAAGAGGTTACTAAATAATTTAAACAGTCTAATAAATTTTTTTTTTACCACAAAACTCAGAAAAGCTATGGTAGATTTGGTGTTTGTAGTTAATTATGCAAACTAATAGGTGAAATATCCTGGAAACTTTTATCAAGACTAGGATATCAGGACGGCTGAAAAGCTATAATTTAATAAAAGGCAAACATGTAAAGCAAGCCCTAACAAACTCTGGCATGATATTTGAGGAAGTGAATTGGAGAAATGAAGCTGAGAAGGCCGAAGAGACTTCTGGCACACACGCTATGACCACACCAAAACTTTTTCAGGAGTAGCGTTATTGCGTAGGCCTCTCAGTTACAGATTAAAAATACTCATGTGACTTTGCCTCTAAAGTCATCTCTTGAAACATGATTAAAATACTGTACTTCACAAGCCAAATTCAGTTCAATTAAATTGTTGAATCTAGGTAGTGGGTAAAGGATGCTCACTGATAATTCTTTCAGGTCATTAGTGAATTTGAAACTTTTTATAATAAAAAGGTGAAAAAAACTCAGATTATCAGCCTGCCATCCCCCATCTGTCTCAGCACAGAACCTAATGGGGAGAGGAAAAGACATTTAGAGCAGTTGGAGGTGTGTGCAAATTTTTCATTGTTCATTTTTGTTCAATGCTTTGAGCACCTTTTTCATGAAGAAGGAGGTTCCATCTTTCCTGTGCCTGTGTATTCAGTGGCTCACGACACCTGGTGTGTCATTAACACCAACAAACACTGGAGCTCTTCAAGAACTTTTAAATAAAATAAACACCAAGGGTCTGGTGTTGTGGTAAGTGTTGTGTGTGGCCCTTGTAGTGCAAACATAGTGCCCAGATGATGCACTTGGAGCTGCTTTCCAGGGGTGAGAATGAATTCACTCACTTATCAAGCACACATTTACTGAAAAGGCACTATACACAGACAGAGAAATGACAGAGCACCTTATCCTTATGGAGCTTATAAACCCACTGGTGAGATTCGGCATACGGAGAGGTAACTGTATTACCAGATAAGTATGAATGAGAGAGGTACAAACGCTACAGGAGACAGGCTCTGCACTAATTCATTCATTTGGCTGCCTCGAGGATAAGTTCTTGGGGTCAAGGGTGCAGACTGTGGCCATGAAATGAAATCAAATTAACTAGCTTACTAGACTGGCCCATGACCCACGTATTAGAGACGTGGTCCTCTAATCAGTGATTCTATAAAATCGCAAAAGGTTATGCCAAATGTTATCAGCACAGTAGCAATTTGTGTAAATTTTGGGGGGAGAGGGAGAGACATTACCTTACGCACTGCTGTAGCCCTTCACAGGACCAAGCCCATCAAGAATATCTGTTGAACTAAATTGAATTGATCCTTTATCTCTTTGAATCGGGTTCAGAAGAGATTCCCATACTGCCAAGAGCTTATCTAACACCGGAACGCAGTACAAAGAGGAGAAGGGAACGTGATATGCTGATACCCTTCTGAACACAGGCCACATGGTAATCAATTCAACTAGGGTAGAGAAGGGCTGACTACCTGACTTTCTGCTTTTAAAAGTTTGACAGTTCCGAATAAGAGCTTATGACTATGGGGTATCCTTCTAAGGCAGTGGTTCTCAACCAGGAGTGGTTTTTCCCACCAGGGACATTTGGCAATGTCTGGAGATATTTTTGGTTGTCACAACTAGGAGAAGAGGGATGTGTATCCAGTAGGTGGAGGCCAGGGATGCTGGTAAAAATCCTACAATGCACAGGACAGTCCCACACAACAAAGGATTATCCACCAAAATGTCAGTAGTGCTGCTGTTGAGAAACCTTGATCCTTGAGTTAGGTGACTGTGTATCAGTTAGCTTATAGTCCAAAAGCTGCATTCTCAACTGCCTGAAAAATGAATGCTTTGCCCATCAAGGGTTTGGTCAAGAGAAGATAGACAGTTCCATGCAAACCCTGCATTGCAGTTCTTCTAAAAAATCCAAATAAGGACCAGTTACAAATCACTTTGGAGTATGAAGAATAGCACAATAATTATGAACCAAACACTTAGCAGAATCAAGAAAAGAACTTAACTCCTACTCTTCCTCTGGACCAGTACTATCTAACAAAATACAACATGAGCCACAAATGCAAGCAACATACATCACTGTGAAATTCCCATTTAGCTCTATAAAGAAAGTAAAAAGAAGCAGGTGACATTGAGTTTAATAATAGTTTAACTCAATATATCCAAAATACTGTCATTTTAACATATAATCAAATATAAAAATTATTAATGAAAAAAAATTCTTTTTTCCATAGTAAATCTTCAAAATCTACTATGTCTTTTATAGTTATAGCACATCTCAATTTGCATTTCAAGTTCTCAATAGCCAAATGTGGCTACTCTATTGGACAGCACAGATCTAGACCTGTGGTAAGAATCACCAAAGATTCTCATTAAAAATGCAGAATTTGGGCATTTTGTTAAATTTTGACTCAGCATGTCTGGAATGGGGGCCAGGAGTCCACATTTTTAACATTTGCCCAGATGATTCTTATACAGTTGGTCTATGGACCACATGCTAAAAAACAATGATTTGCTGTAGACCACTGACTCAATTGAGAGACGGTGTATGCCTCTTGGTCCCTCATAGTCCAGCCTGAAGCCATGTTACATAGGATTAGTATTAAGAAATAAGAGGTATCATAGCTATAGAAGATACAGGGGAGAAGTTAGTTTTTGTTTTGCAAGGAGGTAATGAAGAATTCCTCCCATAAGAGAATCCTGTATTCAGTTGCACAAATCCCTAGGAAAACAAAATTTTCCTTCATCACTTATCATCGGGCTATTTCTGCATTTATTTTTGAAAACTTAAATCAATACACCTATAAGTAATGTTTTCCTGTTTTTAAGGAGTTTTACTTCCTTAATCATCTGTAAATATACTGAGGGAGACTCAGTGTAGTATAGCACAGTACTTTCAAGTAGGAAGTAACAGTCTTGTGATTCAAAATGCCACTGAACCATACTCAAATGAATACAATTCTTTCTGGTTTTCATGCCATAGGTAATACTGTCTGAAGTGACTGTACGACTGCTACTGTATCCTTACATCTGCTATTTCCTCATCTCCAATTTCAACTCAATAATACATAAACTCATAATAAGTGAATTCACTTCCATAAGCACAAAACTGCCCTTCTCAAGAGCAATGAGAAAGAAGAATTGTGCTAAAAATAAGTCTCAGCACTCTCTGTCATCTCACCTGTATCCATCATCAAGACCACTTTGTTCACAAGGAAATGATTTTCGAGAGAAGGTCCATGTGCATCTGATTTGTGGGTATGCTTTAAACTTGACAGAAAAACAGAACTCTTCATATTGGTCAATTTCATAATCTTCCCTTGAATTGGTAGCATTTATAAATCCCTTTTCTGAAAAAAAAAAGCATTATAAATTAGATAATGAGATTCATATGGAAATGTACTGACATGATAAAATAAATTTTTATTCATCAATTTAATGCAAGAAAATGCAGATGTTGGCAAGCTGCAGGTTGGTTTTGATAGGCCAAGAAGAAATATAGGAGTCCTTTCCCCAGCTCTGAGCCTGAGCTCATAATCTTTTGTAGTTAAGATTCCTTTAAGAATGGGATATAAATAATTGACTCTCTTCCCAAAGAAATGTAGAAATAAACCTATGGATTTTGCAGACAATTTCAAAAGGTTGAAGGGCTCCCCTACTCGTGGCTAACCACATACACACTAGGAGCCCCTGACAAAATCTGGAAACGCTTGCTCTCAGCCAGAACAACTCTCTCAGTGATGAGTCCCACATAAGATAATCTCAAGGCACAAATGAAAGCAATCTGGCTGGCAATATTCACAAGGCTTTCTCATGGAATACTTTCTTACCAGTTTGCTAAGAGAATCACTGCGTTTCTTAGCATTTTCATTATGGCTGAAGGCTATGGCCTAATCTGAGATTACTTCAATGTGGTTATTTTCAAATCCCACTTAGCCCACCCAAATTTCAATGCATCTAAGTGCTTGTACAGTTAGAATAACTCGGTTCCTTTTTCAGCTTTTTGATAGTAACATTATATTGAAATTGGAGTTTGGATTACATACCTCACATTCCACACTAAAGCAACTAAAAATATGAATAAAGAGGTGTGAGCAGCCTGCATTACCTAGGATGGTAACCAAAGCGGACTGACTGGGATGCTTTGAGGAGGAACAAGTGTAATATCCAGCGTCATTTCTTCCCACTGATGATACAAAAGCAAACAGAATCCGTATCATAGTTCTGTTTGTTGAATAGGTACTCATCTCAAAGTAGCTGCCCTAGGTTTTAATAAAACAGAGTTTGAATTTAATGTTTTCAACCTGTGCTATTAGTTCATCCTTCATTTTCAGAATATAAACTTGTCATATTACCTCCTTGAGGGCTTTGTTTTCTAATTCCCAGCTCAGCCCAAACCTATGGTTCACATGAACAGCTTTGCACCTTATCCACAAGGGTTCCCCCACTTTAAGATATAATTGTGGCTGTGTGGTCTGAGGAGTTTGATTTAGATCTAGAAGATGAAAACATACCAAGTAAGGGGGAAAAAAGTGACTTTTTTTCTTCATCACGAAATGTATCCTGAAAATTGTGAAGAACAAAGATTTTATCATCATCTCAAATGTTACTAACCACATCAATAAAAGAATCTTTTAGAGATTGGCTACTCTTCTATGAAGAAAATAACATTTACAGAATCCATAATATTACATTTAAAGTGGTATAAAGGCACTACAGAATTTCTGAAGCTGAATAATTACCTAAGCAGTTACTGTTAGTCCCAGATAGTTAGTTTCTAAGGAATAGTCACTGAAAATAACAGCACATGATATTGTAGTGTTACCTATTGTGAACAGCCTGGTACATTCCCTGCCCAGTTCATTTCTTGCACAGCACCTTATGTCTGCTCCAAATAATTCATGAAGTACCTTTTCCTCCTTCTTAACAACAGCTGGACTTTCTTCTTTACAGCTACAATTAGGAAATAAACACCATTGACAAGACATGTTTTAAAATTACAAACGAATGTTCAGGAGAAGAACAGAGTTAAAAGTTCTAGAGCCCATTTCAAGAGAACAAAGGAAAGAGTCGGTCAAAAGGTAAACAAACCCAAAGGTTTGGTTTCAGCAAAGGGTTCCTAAGGGAACTGGCTAGTAATTCATTATCTCAACTAATTAGCATAACACTAGAGAGAATTACATAACAAGACAGTTTAACATTTTTTGTGTTTGGTGACCTCTTTTGTTGTTGTCATTTAAAAACCGGGAAAGAAAGGAAGAATGGAGAAAGAAGACAGAAAGAGAAAAAAAAGAGAGGAGAGAAGTAGGAAGGGGTTTCATGCAGCTTGACCTGGAGGGCATCTTCTTCCCCCAAGCACAGAAGCAGACACCCAGTGAGAGGGAGTGAAGCTGAAGCTGCAAAAGTCACCCGAGTTCCCACAGCAAACGGAGGAGGAAAGCCGAGGTGTCCCACCCCCTCCTCCCACCTCAGCAGAAAGTGGACATTGGATTCCAGTGACAGTCTCCCTAGCTGTTCCTTCCCCGCAGGCGGGTCATGGATTGGGGTCTGTGTAGAGACACCCACTCCTCTTTATTACTTTAGCCAAATGTATTCGTTTCTTTGTCTAGGGATCCTTCCAGGCGTCATTTTTTTCTTATTACAAGACAACAATAATTGAGTTCACTGTAGAAATTTTGGAAAATACAGAAAAACCCAAAGAAAAGAACCTTAAATTATCCATATTTCTACCACCCCAAGATAACAGCTGTTAATATTTTGGTGTGTTATCTTTCCAATCTTTTTTCTTCCATGCACACGTTACACATATTTCTACAGGTAACCTCTTTTTCTTCTAAAATTTGAAATAACATTCATATCATTTGGTAACCTGGTTTTTACTTTTTCTCCTTCTGTTTAGTCCCATTTTAAATAAAAGTTGTTAAGTAAATTTTAATTAGTTCCAACTGCATGTTGTGAGAACTTAGCGATGGCACATATGAAAAAGAAAAGTAAACATTTATACGATGCTCACTACCTGTTAGGCACTGTTCTGTGTGCTGGACATATATCAGTTCATTGAATCATACTAACGATCCTACAGGGTGAGTACTTGTTACCTGATGAGGTACAGGGGTTAATTAACGTGTCCAAGGCCACACAGCCGGTAAGCAAATCAGGGGTCAAACCCAGACTAGCTGGCTCTACATTCTATATCCTTAAACAATCATATTAAGCTGCTTTTTTTCAGAATAAGCAGAATAATCACAAATTAAACATTTAGCCACAGGAAATTTCTTACTTATAAAGGAATTATACTTTAAAATCCATCTTTCTTTTTTCCCCAGATGCTCAAGCAGCCAACAATCCCGTAACTTAAAAGGGCTTTTTGCTGTGTAGTTGTAATGCCCCAGGGAGGACGCTGCAGGTGACCTGAGGAGTTCTAAAAGGCCCCTTTACTAAAAAATCACCCGTCACCCTTCCTGTGAAGCCCATACTAGTCATTCTTTAAGTTCAAGGAGCCAATGTTTCCTGTTTAAATGAGGTTAAATTAGATTTTACTTACAGTCTAATGCCAACTAAATTGGGAAAAGACCGAAAAAATAAAATAATAACAGCAGTTATCGTTGTACACGTCATACCTTTCGCCTTGTGAATCGCAAAGCAGCCATTCCACAATTGGTTCTGGAACACTCTCGGATATGCAGACCAGGGCATCCTGGTTTTCCATTTTTTTAAAGTAAGGTCTTCGTAATGTGTAAAGCAGTGTATCTAAAGCATCGAAAATTATTAACATTTTAATATTTTAGAAATAACTGTCTTAGCAACCCTGTCAAAAAATAATTCTACATCACTAAGAAAAGTTCATAGTTAATACCACAGCAGTGTCTTCTGCTCCCCCCACCCAGCCAATATACGAACTCTGGCTGCCACAACAACTTTAACACGTATCCTCTTGGTCAATTTCTTAGGGTATTTTACACACCCACAGATAACTAAAGTACAGGGAGTGAGGCCATGTGAAAATACACATATGTATAAGAAAAAGAAAATTAACAATAACATATAGCTTAAAGCCCTTCCTTATTTAACATATAGTTTAAAACTCAACATTCCCATAATTTTATCTTGAACTAGGCAGAAATATACTAAAATTTAGAAATGCAGAAATACAGTAGGATGGAGTTAGAACTGGAACAGAATTTAGAGGTTAAGTTGAGCCTCCCATCCACACTGGACCATCACACACACACACACGCACGCACATGCACACACACACGCAGACATGCTTGCTCTCTCCCCCCCCTTCCCCATCCTTCACTTCCAACTGTGATTAACATATAGACTTTCCACTTCTGCCTGGACATCTCTAGGGACTGGAGTTCACTACATCCCAGGGCAAATCATTCCAATTTTTTGGAAACTCTTTTTTAAAGAAAGTTTCCGTATACTGAATTCCAATCTCCCTCCTTATAATAAATTTAGTTTTAAAATATTATGTATTGTTTGATATATACATATGAAAGAATATATGAAGTATAAATTTTGAATTATAATAGTAAGAACAATTACCCATGGCCCACTATTCAACTTAATAACTGGAATGTACTTTTTAATACATTTTTGTGCTTCTCACCATCTCTCAACCATAGGTAACCTTTATCGTGAATTTTGTGTTTATCATTCTTGCACTTTTAAAAATTGTTTTACCACACAGATGGGTGTCTCTAAACAATATACTGATTTGTTAAGTTTTTAAGCTTCAAAATATGGTATCACAAAATATGTAGATTCCACAGCTTCATTTTTCATCCAACCTTATGTTAAAGTTTCATGCATGGTTTTGCACATAGCTATACTTCATTTAGTTTTTACTACTACATAGTATTTCATTGGCAAATATATCACAATCTATTTTTTCATATTCTTGCAGTGGACATTTGGGTTGTTCCCATTTTTTGTATTATCAACCAAAGTGCTATGAACATTCCATTCATTTCTGCTGAGGCACGTGTGTAACTGTTTCTTTAATAATGCACATAAGAATGGAAATGCAGGTTTACATGGCATGAGCATGTTCAGCTTTACACAAAATGACACTTTGTTTTCCAGAGAGGTTACACTAACTTACACTTACACAGCAGGATATGGGAGTGCCTACTGCTCTATATACTTACTTACCAAGACTTAATTTCAACAATCTAGTGGGTATAAAATATCTTACTAGAGTCTTAATTTGATCTCTCAATTTCTATCTTAACATATATTAACATAATTAATTGGTAGGCCATTAGGCTGAGAAGGTTCCCCCACCTTGAATTCCTACGTAAGCAAACCCAAATCCAACTCAGTGTAAGCAATAAAATGAAACTTTTTTTTTTTTTTTTTTTTTTTAAAGATGACTGGTAAGGGGATTTTAACCCTTGACCTGGTGTCAGCACCGCACTCTCCCAAGCGAGCCACAGGCTGGCCCAATAAAATGAAACTTACACTTGACCAATCAGAAACTGCCAACTAACCTCTAACTAGAGACTACCAAACAAAAACTGCCAACTAACTTCTAACTAGGGACTTTACATTTTAGCCAATCAAATATTTTATTTGTCTTGCTTCTGCAAACACCTTATAAAAGTTTTTCCCTCACATACCCTTGGTAGAGCCCAACTGCACTGCTTGTCATCTGGCACTGCCTGATTCATGAATCACTGTCTGCTTGAATAACCTCTAAAATTCTAATGTGCATAAAACTTTAATGTGCCTAATTTCATCTTTTAACATGTGTTTATTGACCATCTAGATTTTATATTATGAAAATGCAATGCCCACTCATGTCTTTTGCTCATTTTTCTACTGGGTTTTTGTTTAGTTTAGTTTACTTATTATTGATTTATAGAAGCTCTTTATATATTACAACTGTTAATACTTTGTTGATTGTGAACTGCAAGTATCTTTTCCCATTTTGTGGTGCTTTCTACCTTTTCTCCCTGTAATTTTGAAACATTGGTCCCAGTTCTGCTTTCTAGAGCAATTTTTTTGAAAGTCTAGCTTTGTTTCCACATGGAAATCCTTCCAATATTTAAAATCAAAAACTGAGGTCAAGGTAAATAATTACCATCCAAGGTACTTTAACTAGTTAGGCCAGGTTTCCTTACTCAAATCACAGAAGAATTTCATCTGCATTACACTGCAATCAACCTTCTCTCCTCAAAGTATTTCCTTCTCCATGTGAAACATTCCCAATTCCTTCAGCTCTCCTAATTTAAAGAATTCCAAGTTCTTCACTTTCTAGCTAGCTCTATTTTGTCAACGTTCATCTGAAAAAAATGTATAATTAAAAATAATAATCTTGTACTCGTTTTCTTAATCAAGATATTATATTTTCATGAACACCGCCACGGTTCAAACTCACTTTTTTAGCAACCACGCCACACTGTTGGTTAATACTGAGCTTGTAGTTGACTAAACCCTTTTCCCTGACTCTCTAAACCCTTTCACACTGACTGTTGTCAAGTCTCTCCCATCTCTTTTTTGAACTTCAGCACCCAGCAAAATACTGCAAACATGTTACAATTTACTTGAATGATTGTTATTATATTTTTACATGGTAAATCTTAAGTGAAAGGAAGGTACCCTAAATGTGAGGGTACTTCAAAAAGTTTGTGGAAAGATAAAATTAAAAGATAATACAAATCTTTCCATGAAATTTTTGAAGTACATTTATGTAACAGAGACACAGCAGATGCCCACTTCTCTTATACAACTATACATACTTGGCAAAAAAGAGAGAGAAAGAAAGATCAAGAGAGAGGAAGAGAGAGAGCAAGAAATCTCTTATTCTCTTCCAACCTAGAGCACATACTTAACTGTCCCACAGAGTGGAGTGAGAGACTGGGAAGGGGACAAGGAACAAGACCAAAACCAAAGAGCAGCTAAAAGTAACTCTCGAATTTTGAGCTTCCAGGTCTTTGGACCTACTGATTTCAGAGTAATTGAAGGGTTTTCCAGAATAAATTTTGACAAATTTTGACTTCGCCCGATTTTTGCCTTACAGACTGACTTTAGAACTTAATACCCCACCCTCAATCCCAGTAAGATGACATGTCTGTTTTAGCTTTGACTGCAAGACCACACACTCTCACACAACACCCAGTGTTGAGTAGTGTAGAGAGTGCAGACCTGGCTTAAATCAGCCTCTACCTGTGCCCATGACTGCACCTCTCAAACAGTCTGTTGCTCATCTACGTTAGTGCAGGTGTGTTGCAAGCATCTGAGGTGATGCATGAAGAACACCTTCGGCAAAAGATGGCTGAGGCACCCCGTGGCTGGACACCCACATACCACACACCTTGGCTGGGTGCATTTGAGTCACTGACAAGGAAGAGGGAGCCTGGCAAGTTGTACCAATGCATAGCCTGAGAACCTAATTTAAAGCAGCATAAGCCCAGAGTTTGTGGAGCACTGCCCTTGCCCCCAAAAGCATGGGGAACTAAGTGAAAGCAGCTCTTTTAGTGCTTATTAGTCAGGTAAGCTAAAGCAGTATGTTCAGTGTGCACAGCACTGCCTCTGTGCAAGTGGGGACGAAGCAAAGAGAAGCTGCAAAGCATCTGCAGGGGGTGACTGCCAACTGCACTGCTGCCTCCCTTGGTAGGACCATGCGGATTGTTCCTTATAGCCCACGTGTGGTCTGACATTTGTATAGACCTGTGTTGTCTAATACAGTAGCTGCAAGCTACATGTGGCTATTTAAATTCAACTTTTAACTCATTAAAATTAAAATTAAAACTTTGGTTCCTCAGTCACACAAGCCACATTTCAAGTGTTCAATAGCCATGTGTGGCCAGCAGCTACTGTACTGGACAGAGAAGATAAAGAACATTTTCATCATCTCAAAAGTTCTATGGGATCGCACTGAGACCTTATAATCCTGTGAGGTATATATTTTTATCCTCATTTTACAGATAAGGAAATTGAGGCTCAGAGAGATTATGTGACCTGCCAAAGGTGGAAGTACAGAACCAGAATTAGAACCCAGGTTTTCTGATTCCACATTCAAATTGTTTTCCATTTCTTCCCTGTCAGCCATCTGTTACTGGAAAAGTGGGGGACCTGAATAGAGGATGGCCCAGGTTCAAAATAGCATTCTCATTCTGAGTCCACAGGACATGCCAGAGGTTCTCACTAGGTTATACAGATGGTTGAAGCGAATTCAATCAATTCAACTACATATTGAGGGAAACCTGAGTGCTGTGACTAGAGCAGCTGGTCACAAGCTAACGAGTTCTAAACCACTCCTGTGGAATACTGTGAATACCTAGTAGAGCTGGACTTACTTCTTATACTCACTGTAAACAATATTGTGTAATTGGCAGCTTCACTCTGAATAAAAAGTAGGTATTCTCCAGCTTGGGTTTCTGTCATTTTCAGAATGACCATGGAGACAACTCCTCTGCAAAACAGGAAAGAGAACTGGTCATTTTGGAAAATGTGTGAAACTAAAAACATAAAATTTCATACTGACTCAGAAGGTGGTTTGGTGGCTCCCGCATTCCCTGATGGTGGCACGGACGGCTGCTCTGTAGAGGACATGGATGTGCCCAACACGTGGCCTGAGCATTGTTAGTCTGACCTTGACTTTTAACGGGTCCCTCCCTTGAGAGTGAGTCAGCTCCATTCTAGCGCCATCATCTCGTGTTCTCCGAGCCCCTAAGAGGGAAACTCCCATCCGAAACATGCACAGCCTTACTGGGCCACCCCTTGGTAGTGGCATTCCATTCCCTTCCATTAACTAAGCACCCTCCATGATCGTATGTGTCCAGTCACCTGGTCACCAGCTTCAGTTTCCCATTCGCAGAACCAGATCAATGTATAAGTGAGATACACTGTCTCTCTAAGTGAAAGAATTCAAGCAAAATCTGACAGAAGGCATTGTCCTTTGAGGTAATAATTACACTAAATATCACACAGATGTAAGGAGAAAGGGGTCTCAATGTTAGTATTTTAAACTTTTCAGATAATTGGTAGAAATAAATTTGGCTAGGAGCATTCTCTTCAAGGAGACAACTTTGATGTGTGTTTGGTGATACCCACTCTCATCATTACAGCTAGAAGTACTCTCTAGCAGTTTATGGAGTGGTGTTGGATTTCATTTTACACTTTCTGACCCTAGACCCTTACTGATCAAAGTGTGGTCATTCTTCAACAGTGTTAGTGTAGCTGGGAGTTAACAAAGATACAGAACCTCAGGCCCCACTCGGACCTACTAAATCAGGATCTGCATTTTAACAAGATCCCCAGGCAATCCAGATGCATGTTGTATTCGAGAAGCCCTGCTTTAGAGCATCAAGGAGCATGCTCTGGAGCACACGTGCTTGTGTTCACATAGACAGCAAATCACTAGGGTGTGTGTTTGATTTGCTTCTGCAGATCTGTTCTGGTGATGTGCTTTCTTTCTCAAAACCATTCGCTCTCCTAGTGTCATTTGTGAAATCTTGAAAGCTTAGGTGTTCAATCTTTCCGCCTATAAGTCACAGTCCAGATATAAATTTCTATCATTCTCTACTGTGAAAAAGTCACTGAAAATGTTTTGGTAACTAACCCGTATGAGAACCATGACTTTGGCTAACAAACTGGACTTCCTGTCCTAGAGCAACAAAGGCGGCATCTACGGAGTGAAGAGAATCCTACTTCTCTGTTTTTTGGTCTCAATCCAGTGAGAACTGTTGTGGCATAAAATCTTAATAAGATTTCCAGAACATTTCCTTAAGCCAAAATTCTTAAGAGAATAGAGCTTTGGATTAACCCCAAGATAAAAGTAATTGAAAAACAGAAATAATACAGTCTCAGAAGAGGAAAGGAAAATGAACGTGATCCAAGGTTTAGAACTAAACTTCAGAATTATACCCACTGTCCCAAAAATTACTGAAGAGTTTCTTTGACCTTAAAGAACAAATGCAAATAATTGATACAAGACTGTCACAGAGATGTTCTCCAATACTTCAGTTAGGGAGCATGACACCCCTTTCAGGCTATTTGGGGAGCATTTACTGCATTGTTCCTGGAAAGACAATGCCTTCTCTACAGCCATGGGGCACCAGACATCCCCAAGAACTAAAAAAAAAAAAAAAGGCAGCCTTAGAACTACTCAGTGGCCATTTAAATGGCCTGTGTCTTTTGCCCTATCTGGTTTCAGCAAGAGGACAAGGACAGCAGGGGGCAGCAAGTGGCATAGAGTTAGACAGAGGTTTGGACATTATCCAAGCATCTAGGCTAAGATATTTTTCTGCATAATGAGACCAGTGTTCCTTACATTGTCAGTCAATGTCTTCCCAAAATATTTTGTGGATATCACATACTACTGTAATTCTGCTTATCATGTTTTGAAACAAAATAGATAAAACCAAATGTTCTTTCCTGAAGCATTGCCCAGAGAGAAATTTTTTTCTACTTAAAATAGAATGAAATGAAAACTTTCTAACTTTATCTTTAACAAGATATCCAGTTAAAGAAAAAAGATACTTCAAAAATCACAAATAGACTTCCGGTCAAGATGGCAGAAGAGAAGGTCCCCAGTGTCACTCTCTCCCACAAATCAACCAATTTACAACTATAAAAAAGCAACAATAGCCAAGCTGGGGCCACTAGAGCTCAGGGGAAGAGGAGGAGAGACCTACCGGGTGCATGAAGGTGAGAGAAGCCATGATGAGAGAAAGAAAAAATTGCTCCAACCATTTTGAATCCCAGCCACTTCCAGGCTGGAGCTGCTGAGCACATGGAGCAGGAGCTGGCAAAAGCCGCAGCTTGCCCTTCGGATGAAGTTGCATGGAGGCGGCAACAGGAGAAGAGAGCCTGGTGGCCCCCAGGTCAGCAAGACCACTAATAGGGTTCCCGTGGACCCATATAGGAGTGAGAAGCCACAACAACTAAAAAAAAGGAGCCACTCAGAGGCCAGTGAGTCATCGCAAGGGACTGGCACATGGCCTGTTCCATGGGAAGTGTTTGGAGCATGGGTGGTGGGGGAGATGGGTCCACCAGGGGAACATTGGGGCACAGCAAGGACCGCTGATCTGTACCCCAATCAGCATAGGACCACTCAGAGGAGACTGGTCAGGAATGCAGAATAGCACGGGATGAAGTTTGATGAAAAAACTCAGTCCCAGACCAGAGTTTCTACACAACCCGGGTGCACCAGATCTCCCAAGAGCCAGAAGTACCTATAAAGTCAACCATTAAAACCTGAGCTGCACAAAAGGCCTTTCCTAGGGAATTGGCAGCAAAGCAGCAATTTAGCTCAACCACAGGCTCAAGTACTGGCCCCCACAGGAAGTTCCCCCATTTTAGAAGTAAGCAAAGGACAACAAATTAGTTCCAGTGCAGAGTTTAAGTGGTGGGAACAGCAAATAATCAAACACAAAACTGAAAGAAAAAACAAAGTACCCACAACCAGACACAAAGTTTGATATTAACTAGTAAAGGTCTCACTTCACCAAAGAACACCTATAACACCTAGAAAGACTGGAAGTCCCCTGGGCTACCAAGCCAGAAAGGCGGGAGGGCCGGGGGCCTCAGCCATGCCCCCTGACACCAGCAACCAGTCCTGAGGGTGGGGGCCTCAGGCCTCAGTCACACCCCCCCGACATGCACAACTCCCCCAGCGATGACCACTGAGCCACTGCAGGAAGTGCCCCAGGCTCCCCAAAGCCAGTGCAGCAGGGAGCTGAGGGCCTCAGCCACACCCCCCAACACCCACAACCAGACCAGAGATGACCACTGAGCCGCAGCAAGGATGCCCTGGGTTCCCAAGCTTGGGTGGGGGCGGGGCGAGGGCTTTTGCCACACCCCCCTGACATCTGCACCCAGCCCACCAATGACCTAGCCACCACTGGAAGCCCCCTGATCTCCCCTGTGGGAATGAAGGGGGTGCCAAGGACCTCAATCCCACCCCTCCTCCTCCCTCCTTCCATCCCATTTCCTTCCCCTTTCTCCTCTCCCCCTCCCTCCCAACTGCTCTGCAACAACATCATAGAATGTAAAAAATAATATTAATTTTAAAAATCCCAAATATTCTTTTCAATATTTGTTTTACATTTTGCCAGCCTCTCTCTCTCTCTCTCTCTTTTTATATATACAATTTTTTTCTTTTTCTTTTTTTTTGTTTTAACCCTGAGCAGGGTTAATAATAATTGTGTGCTCTGTGTGTGTGTGTGTGTGTGTGTGTGTATACGTATAATAATAATAATTGCTATATATAAAATATATAATAATATAATAACAATTATATATATTATTATTTTAAATTAATAGAATTTATTTTTTAGAGCAGTTTTAGATTTACAGAAAAGTTGAGCAGAAAGTATAGGGAAATCTCATAAACACTCTTCCCTCCACACAGTTTCCCCTATTATTACCATTTTACATAGGTATGGTATGTTTGTTACAATCTGTGAACTAATATTAATACACTATTATTAATTAGAGTCCATGGTTTGCATCAGGGTTCACTTTTTGTGTTGTACATCCTATGGGATTTGAGTCATGTGTCCATGCCCTAACTATATTCTTGGTTTGTTATTTCAGTGGAGAGAAGAGGTATAATAAATACGGGCAGAAACTTGAAAAGGAATTCCAAATTAACCACATATTATGCAAGAAAGTATTCCTCTAAAAATCCAGGTGGCTGCACATCGCCCCTCTTACCTGTTTTGTAAATCAAAGTGAGGCTGGCAATTCAGGGAGCTGTGTTTAAAGACCCAGAGACAGGAGATGTTCCCTGGGATGCTGACCAGCACCTGCAGTGTGACAGACGCAGATGCGTCCACTTCCACAGCCGCAGCTTCATACACTGCCCTGGCACTCTCAGGTCTCAGCACGCACCCAAGGTCTTCTGGGGATTCTGACACCTACGTAGTAGATAGAACAATGTGAATTTACAAGTATTGCATGTTTATAGCATCCTCTGCTTAGCAGGAAACCTTTATCAAATACATGCACACATGACACCCTGAAACCCATTGAGAATACAGCATTGACTGAAAATCCTATAAATTTATAATTCTCTAAAGAGAAGATAAATAACTTTAGGCTGGATTTCTAAAATGTTGTACAGACTGTTATAGGTTGAATTGTTTCCCCCATCCCCAGCCCCTCAAATTCCTATGTTGAGGTCCCCAATACCTTAGAATGTAACCTTATTTGGAGATAAAATTTTTACAGAGGTATCAAGTTACAATGAAGTTATTAGGGTGGCCTTAATCCAATACGACTGGTGTCCCTATAAGAAGAGGAGTCTGGAGACAGAAACACATACAAGGTGGGCCGGCCTGGTGGTGCACTGGATAGTGCGCTGCTTGGGAAGTGCGGCGGCGCTCCCACCCGAGGGTTTGGATCCCACATACAGACC